AAATATGTTGTTCAGATGTCAGATCGCAAGGATTGGGTTCTATACAGTCCATCAAGAAGTGATTTCTATGAATATACCCTTTTTGATAGTCTTCTGATGATTTGATTGAAAATTGAGATATCTTTTTACGATATAGATTAAAAAATTGATTTTTTATAATTATAATAGAACATCTAAAATGGTATATTGAAATAATACTAATAGGAGGAGAATATCCCAACAATTTAGAGAAATTAATTATTTATTTCATCAAGACAAAATGAATATCAAATCAAAACAATTCTATATCCATCTGATAAAATAAGTAGATACATATTTTCAATACACGCGTATATCAGCCTTGTCGAGATTGGTACGCTCAAGTTACCTGATGATTATTGCATGTTTGTATACATAACTATGTATTTATTTCGTATCTAGGTCACTTTATCACATTATATCTTTTAATTGAGCCAAGTTTTGCATTGGCGGCCTTGGCCCAATAGCACAACTACCAATATTTAGAGTTTTTACATACAATTCAGCCTATCGATTTTTAGATCTGAAGTTGTTTTAATTATGATGATACTTCAGAATATTTCTTTTTTCAATAATAAGCTAATAGAAATATACCTACATTAAGAACCAGAAAAACATTTAGATGTATGATTGATGTGATCGTTTTTGCCTAAAAAAATGTAAACGGATTTGGACACTATACTATGAAGATCTCTGATAATTTGCTATTGAGCTGGTCATCAGTTACAAATCAGGAAAGTACCTAAGAACCCACTTGATAAATCAAATTGATTCAACAGAAAACGTATCGTACAGGTATAGGAACGATATGTATACAGGGTAACTCACGGTCGATGGTACGTTAGACGTTTACGGAGAACGGGACATAGGATCATTCTGAAATTTTGGTTACTCACGTAGTTGCTCTTGGTCTATCGATCTAAAATATTTTCAGCTCTGCGGCGTTGCCGCTTCTATCGAAAAGTAGCAACAACTTTGTTATTTTAAATGGAACACCCTGTATTTTATTGCATTTTCAGATTCTCTCTAAAGATCTGATTTCATCGATGTATCACACTTGGGGTCTAGCGGAAATGATTACAGAGATATAGGGTGTGAAAAATCGTCATTTTTCAACTTCAGGAATTTTTTTTGTCGAAACTATTCATACTATTCATTATTGGTCAAAACGGCTTACATGTGCCTATCTCAACTTTTGATGAACTATCCACTGATATTTAATTGGGACATATACCGGGTGATCAAGATTCTGAATTGTGCACCACCCTGTATTTGTTTCAATTAAATGTCAGTAGATAGTTGATCAAAAGTTGAGATAGGGACATGTGAGCCGTTTCGACCAATAATGAATAGTTTCGACAAAAAAAATTCCTAAAGTTGAAAAATGTCGATTTTTCACACCCTATATCTCTGTAATCATTTCTGCTAGATCCCAAGTGTGATACATCGATGAAATCAGCTCTTCAGAGAGAATCTGAAAATGCAATAAAATACAGGGTGTTCTATTTAAAATAACAAAGTTGTTGCTACTTTTCGATAAAAGCGGCAACGCCGCAGAGCTGAAAATATTTTAGATCGATAGACCAAAAGCAACTACGTGAGTAATCAAAATTTCAGAATGATCCTATGTCCCGTTCTCCATGAACGTCTAACGTATCATCGACCGTGAGTTACCCTGTATGTATATTTTATGTAAAATGCAACATATTCGTAGAGAAAAATAACACTCTGATATTCAAAATACCCAAATTTTTTAAAAATTGTCAGTTAATTGTGTCTACAATTGTGTTTCCTAAGGAATTCAAACTCATTTTCTCACCCTCCACCCTAAGCGATAAGCACCCATAAAATAAATCCTTGATTGCCCACGTGTCGCAGAAATGGGAGTTGGAAAACAGTGTTGCCAAGAATATTTCGTCAGCTCTTGAAAGAAAAACATGTTTCACAAAATGACAAAAATATCAATATTCCAATTTAGTTATCGAGCAGTGAATGGGTGGGTAGTTTTTGTGGGGTAAAGAAAATTAGCGATTCCTAATATGTCAAAAGAACCATTTTTCCTTTACAACTGATATTTTCTTGAATTATCTCTCCTCGTTTTTATAAGTTGAAATGTGAGTGAGGATTGTAAGGAAGAACAACTCAGATGATTTGATCCAAAATGTCACTGCGTAAAAAATACTATTAGAGAGCCTAAAAGAGGAATTCGATCGATAGTGAAGAGGAATATATGTAGATATGTCAATTTTGTTCTTAGCTTTGGACGTTTTGGCAACGAATATTCTCCAGTTTCTAATATAAAAAGGGAATAATTATTCTTGGCATTGACAGAAGTTGACACAAACAAGTGAGTTGAAGGATGTTTTAATTAATTGAATTTAAATTAGACCATTTAATATTCAGATTCTAGGAATCAATACCTTATTGTTTCATTCTCACATCAACTGCACAGGAAGCAATGATATTCTCCGTTCAGAAGGATGCAAGCTGATTCTTTGATTTTTTCGCTTGCATGCAAGAATATTGCATTATTCTGAGAAATGAATATCCTGAGGAATATCCCATCTCCTCGATTGACTGACAGACTGTTTTTGATGTAACCATAATTATATTTGGCCCCAGCTCATTTATTCACAAAAAAACTTGAAAAAAACAAATCTCAATTCATATTTTTCAATAGGTGTTACTGACAATTATGCAGATTTTTTTGTTTAGTTACATTATTCCTTATAATATGCCACATGCCACCCATCTCTTTGAATTTGTTGACTTTTTGGACAAATCACAGTGCGCGGTAATTATGCACTTACCATGCGATGGGCATTTTTTCATTTAATACACGCCTATTCTGAGAACCAATGAAATTTCTTCTTCGACCAATCACCAGGCATTTGTAGTAATAAAAAGCTACCTAGCTTTCCCAATAACCGATAAATATGCACCTTGCTTTCAATCGACACACTTCTATACTTTGACAACTACTGTCACCGTCACTACCGTCAGGTAATTTTCGAGTTATTTTTTGACACTTCGTTTCTTTTTCAAATCATATTGTCTTTATAGTTGTCTATTAATGTCCACAAAATACATTCGAGAAATGTTTTCATTGAGAAATACATGTCAAATTGTATTAAAAATTTATTGTCTTTTAGCAAAAAATCTCAAATCAAGGAAAGTAGAAAAAAAAAACGCTCGAGCAAGTCTCACGATTTTTTCACTCCCTTGAACTTTCATACAATTTAACATGTATTTCTTGATGAAAAATCTAAATTTCACCTGCTTTTCCGTCGGTTGAATACGCATTTTCATAATTATTTGTCCTCCTTTTTTCATCATTGGACAATTTATATATACCGATCATAGATTAAAAAGATGTAGGTACCTCAACGACACATTTTATAATTGAAAGTCAACTAGAAATATGATTTCCTTGCGATTTTTCCATATATTGTGAAAAGAAGGAACAATATCATTTAAAATGATGTCGTGTGTATAACGTCATTCAGAAGCAAAGTGTTAACTGTTGACATTTTGACCTTCATTTGACATCTCGTATTTGTATTGATAATTCAATAACTAAAAGGCCGTCAGATTGTTCACTGAATATTAAAAACTCTCCAGAAAATTCATATTTCTTGTTGAATATTTCTAAATGCGTTTCCAAGGCAGGCAGAAAAAAGAGGCTGACATTTTTCTCCGTGAAATATCTCGAAATTGTGGTTTTTGCACATTTTCATCATCAAATTAGTGTTTTTCAAACAAATATACGTTAATAACAGGAAAAATTCGAAGAAACCATCCCATGTTGAGTGCAAAATTACCCAGTGCGTTGTAAATAACTTTGACGATGACATAATATACTATTTCCTACAACTGTCGAAAAAACTGCACTTCTTGCTCGACTTCTTGATATTTTTTGTGTGCATAAAGTGTACAATTTTTCAATATCAAAATAGTGTTCCAACTGTTCCATGCTTTAACAGAAATGTTTGAAAATAAGTTCGACCGTTCGACGAACAAATCTGTACGAACAAAAATTACGCAGAACAGAAGTGTGTGGCAGCAAAATGGTCGATGTCCACCAACAACGCAGTCTATGGGCGAATTTTCGAACTTTTTCTTGAAATATCTCGATAAATAGTGGTTTCTTCACATTTTCATTATCAAATTCGCGTTTTTCAGACAAAAATAAGTGAGTGGCAAAACAAATTTTCGAAAAAAAAACCATCGCATGATAAATGCAGTTTTACCCTATTCCGTAAAATCATCACTTATCCTTGCAAACAAACGCACTTGGGGCATCTCCAACACCCAGACAGAAATTCTCCTTCTTCTCGCGCAATCCGGCACCGCCGCAGAACCGCCCGAACCCCGGCCGGAGTGCGGAAGGTAAAGGGCCGTCTACACTCTACCGATCGACCCCCCACCCACCGGCCCTGCATCGCCACATGATGCGCCGCGCTTATGTGGGTCAGTAGGCCACCCCCACCCCGCTATGCGAGTCCCCTCCAAGCTCGCCTCCCCTCCTTGCGTGCGTGTGTGCGACAGACTGCGATGGTGTAAGCACCAGCGTGTGTGCGAGTATGACTTCACAACACCACTAACATAGACCTGGTTCATTGGAAAGTGGGTCACTAGTCCCGGCTCACTTTCACTTATTACATGGATTCCTAATCATTTTCCATTGTGGTCCTGTGTCGGCAGCACGGTGTTTCGCTGCTCTAGCCCAAGTCCTCAGTTCAGTTTTCGGTCCGGCCTCCTTCGTGCTGGAGGTGCGTGTTTGGTGTGTGTCTGTGTGCCAGTCTCGTGAACGGACTGTCGCTTTCATCGGTGCGTGTGCCCATTCTTGGATTAACTCTCGCTCTCTTGGATTTACTTACCTATCTATCCCCCTGTGTGCTGTGCCTCCGTCGTGTCAGCGATGCCGTTAAGGTAGCGCTCCCCCTTTAATCTGGATACACTCGGGTTCTGGACCTTGTGAGATGTTACTCGACATGGAGAACCACTCGGCTTTATTATCTCTGAACATGTCCCCGTTCGACGCCAGCTCGGGCGACTCCCCCATGGCCAACCAGGCGTCCAGCAGTCCGCTACCCCAGTACGGCTCGCCGCCCGTGTCAACCTCGTATCCCAGCTGCCAACAGCCCTTGGGCATGCAGCAGCACCATCATCAGCAATCGATGATGATGTCGCAGAGCATGAGCACCCTTGACACGTCCTATTTGTTCTCCTCAGGAGGCGGCTCGCTGTCGAGCATGGACCTGGGGGCCGGGTACCAGATCAGCGGCGGCCCGCCCATGGCCTTGACGCCCACGGGCGATACGCCCGACTCCAAGGACGGGATCGAGGAGCTGTGCCCCGTATGCGGGGATAAAGTGTCCGGGTATCACTACGGGCTGCTGACCTGCGAGTCTTGCAAGGGGTTCTTCAAGAGGACCGTGCAAAACAAGAAGGTGTACACGTGCGTGGCCGAGAGGAGTTGTCACATTGATAAGACGCAGAGGAAGCGGTGCCCCTTCTGCAGGTTCCAGAAGTGTTTGGAGGTCGGGATGAAGCTGGAAGGTGAGTGGACTATTTTTCTCGAAGGGTGAACCGCGGTCAGAATTGTGTGTACAACAAACTTGAATTTCACAAGGAGTTCCAGTTGTTTGTGCACCAGAATTATACTGCACTTCACACAAGGATTTCCAAGAAACTCCAAGGAAATCCAAGGAATTCCCGTTGTTAGTAGACCAGGAATACCGGGTGACACAGGAGACATGTAGCAGCCTGTAGTTTTTTTATTTGAAGGGATAAAAATTTGAAATTCACAAGGGTTATATTATCAATGATGGCGCTCACCTTGAACCCAATGACGATTTTGTTCAACCACCTGTTTGATCGGAAGTAGACGCAACCTGTGCAACCTGGCATCCTGTGCATTTCTGCAGCCTTATTCGCCTTAAAATTCTCTATTCAACTATGTATCACAATTTGATAAGCGAAATGCGAGGCGAAATGATACTGACAATACAATAATGCAGACTTATGAACAGATGTATTAGGACGATACATCAATTATTACAACACTTTCAGTTTCATGTATCCAAGTGGATGATTATATTATGGCTAAATTTTAAAAATGAAAGACAAATAATTTCTTCACAAGTAGCCAAATGAAAAAAACTGAGTTTCTGTCTTAGTTTTCTCAATATCATGAGCGAGATCATGAGTTAGTTTCGGATGATGTTTTTAAATTCAATGAAATTATTGGCAATCTTCTGGGACCGATGAGGGTATGGAAAATACTCTGATAATATCGTCTAAGTAATGATCTTTGGATTTCTAAGCCTATCAAGCATCGAAATGCCATTGTATTTGGGCCACAGCCAACTTGATGTATTTCAATAAAATGCAATTTAACAGCCATCTAATGAACAAATATCAAATTGTGATACACATTTGAATAGAGAATTCAAAGGCGAATGAGAAAGGCTACAGAAATATACAGAATGCTATTTGAAAAAAAAAATGGGTTCACTTCCGATCAAACAGGTGGTTGAAGAAAATTGTCTTGGGTTCAAGGGAAGCGCCATCATCGATAATATATAATCCTTGGGAATTTCAAATTTTTTGTCTCTTCAAATAAAAAAACTACAGGCTGTGACATGCCTCCTGTGTCACCCTGTATACCGCACTTCACCCAAGGAATTCCAGGGAATAACAAGGAAATCCAAGGAACTTCAAAGAATTCCACGAAAATCCAAGGAATTCCAAGGAAATCTAGGGATTCCCAAGGAATTCGAGTGTTTTGTACACCAGAATTACAGCGCGGTTTACCCCTCTATTTTTCTTGTTCTTTTTTGTCTTGCGGAGCTCGGTGTGTGTTGATACGGGATGCGACCACCACAACGAAAGACAAACGCAATCTATCAGGGTTGATGCGACCCTCCTGAAATAACAGTTATTTTCGAAATCAAGGCACAAGACCTTCGGCGAATAGGTATCAAACTTTAAGTAGGCCCAAAGATGTCCGGTGACCTTGAAAATGTCCGAAATACCGTTGAGAGTAGGAACTGTAATTAATAAGCATTTTGACTGGACGTTTGGTCTCACATAGTTGATTTGTCTTGCCTATAACTCTTAAATATGAGGAATGATAATGATACTAACTCAAAATGGAGACCAGCGATGAAGCATAGGATAAAGCTCGGGATAAAGGCCCGTATGTGCAGTCAAAATAAAAGAACATGTTGCCGTTGGATGGTGTTAGCGCTCTTATTGCAGAAGTGCCTAAGAGTGCACTTCCCATGTGCGGCATGTTCATTGAAGTCGACCTCGAATCTGACTGTACACGGGATATTTTAACTCTTTTGGATTAACATTTCGGGTTGTTACTGTAGTGCAGTACTACTCAGTTTTTCCGGCTATTTGCAGGTCGCGTACCTAAAAAAAAATCAATGTTCTAGGGTAGGTACCTATACAATGTATAACTGATAAACATCATTAATAAAGATCTCTAAGCACTCAACATAATCAACGGCACAGACAACTAATCAAAGCATAGTTGTAGTTAAGTTGTAATAAGATTATTATCAACAGTAGGTAGGTAGATAGGCATAGGTACTTACTCAACGTAATCAATAGTAGCTACTCGAGAATAAAAAAATTATTATCTTTTGATTGAGTCATTTCAAGAATGACGAATGTCTCATGGGAAAATGTAACTAGACATTTAATCTCGCATTTGATATAAAATCCTAGACTTTTTATAAAATCCTAGACTTTTTATAAAATCATCAAAAAGAACCATGATTCTTTTTCATTAAAGACCCTTACTTATTCCTCAAAGGAACTTTTTTTCTACAGAAGAAAATATTTCCAAACCATAGAGAATATTGTCAGGATTCTGAATATTGAACCACTCTGTGGCTGTATTTGTTCCACTCAAATGTCAGTAGATAGCAATCAAAAGTTGAGATAGGGACATTATGTAAGTCGTTTTGATCGATAATGAAACGTTTCGACAGAAAAGAAAGATAGTCTTCTAGTTTCAAATCTCACTGGTTCATTGTCTTTCAACAAAATTTTCATCTCTACACATGACTTTCTCAGCTACAATGTCAACATATTGTACACAGTCCAATAAGATGATTTGTTTCACTTGCATTTGGTAGACTAAGTTACTATCAGAATTTATGTTTATACTTTTCTCACGTTCAAAAAAATACGAAAGTTGAAGAATATCGATTTTGAACACGCTATATCTCTGTAATCATTCCCGCTAGACCCCAAGTGTGATAGATACATTGACGAATTCAGCTCTTGAGGGAGAATCTAAAAATGCAATGAAATACAGGGTGCTCTGACTTTGGAATATGATAATTGCATAAAAAATGTGTCTTCCGCAAAATTGAAATCGACCCTCGAATCGACCTGTACGAGCGGTTTTTCATAAATTGCAACACAACGGAGAAAACTATGGTGGATCATCTTCAATGGGCCACCCGGTATATCTATCCCTCAGAAATCACCTCAGACCAAACAAATCCAAACTCTAATTCACGGCTCTGAGGTAGGTACTCATTTTTTTTGCCGCTTGAAAATCTCTATAAACCTCTGAGCATTTAAACGATTGTTTATGATATTCCTGTTATAGTAGTGTTAGTGGTGGTTTCAATTTACTAAGATTCGCTAAAATTCCTATTTTGTCGAAACTAAGAAAATATATCAAGGTTCGAATTTTATCTAGAGTACCTTTTTTGTAGTGAACAAGTCTCGGAATCAGCCTTGATGAATCAGTTATGCATCAGATTAAACTCATAACATAAATCCGAACACTCTCGTCCGACCACAAACAAAATCTGACCAAATCTTATTATTTCAGTTTCAGTGTTAGATATACTCGGATGTTTATTTACTGAAAAATAAAAACTCAACGCCAATATAATGATACTCGTTATGATTATGATATGGATTTTGTTTCATTCGCGAGATTCACGAATTGGGCGACATCTAGGTTACATAATACGGACCTCAAACTGGGGGAAAACCTCGGGGAAAACAAACTATTGTCTATAGATGAAGTGCATAGACTATATTGCATACATCTTGCTGTAGCTGTAGTTGTCAAACTTGTCAATGACATAAAGTGTTATCACTCTTATCAGTACACAGTACACAAGCTAATGGAACTAATGGGATTGAGTTTGTTTTCCCCCAGTTTGGACGTGACTTGGACATGGAACGATGAAAACCGAGCGCCACCTGGTAACAATGATTCCCGCGAATAAAGCAAAAACGAATTGAAAACCAATTTCAGAGCTGTCTATGGTGGTAGGCTTTTGTGAAGACCTTTTAGGCACACCCTGTATACCTACCGCTCGAATATGCGTCATGACAAATCACACATGAAAAGATAATAAAAAGTAAACAAGTTTCGTATAGTATTTTTAGTTTTCGGGTATTATAATAATAATATATTTAATAATAATATTTATTTACCATAAATCACAATAATTACATTAAAATACTTATACATTTTGATGAATTTCGAACAAACAATGGTTTATAGGAAAACTGATAGCAATATGAAACTCGACTTGAAAGGAATGAAGAAGTATGCATTACATTTTTGAAAATTCCCATACATGAGATATTTTCTCGGAAATTTTATTGCGTTGATACATCTCGGCATACACTCTATAACAGTCACTATTTCTCTGTCGTTCTGATATCCCATCCCAATTCGAGAGAAAATAACAATTTTTTGTCTTTGCTAACCATGATGGAATGCAATACCCTGTATGTGATATTATTATCTATTCGAATAGAGAGATTCATGAGGTAGAAATTATACGTGGAGCGTTTATTTCTACTAAAGATTTATCAAGACTTAGAGCACACAATTCAAATCGTAGCTCGAAAACTGGTCATAGGATCGATCTGTAAATTGGACTGTGTAATAAGGACGCCATTTTCCTTACTAAATGTGCGGGGTCCTTTGTGGCCTAAATCGATAGAAGAATTCTTGTTTTTCGTAATGTGTTATGGAAAGTTCCGGAAACTTCGAATCTCAAAATAATACATAAAAAAGATCTAGAGCTTTCAGATTACTATTTATTTAAAACAAAGGTCGTCGCGTTATAAAATAACGATAAAATAATGAATTGTAGTTCAGTGTGTAGAATAAAATAAATTACTAGATAAATTATTATTATCTAGTAGGTATCTAGTGAAAATGAAATTTATATACCAATTTTTTATTAGATCGAAGGGCATTTACGATGGATGAATGCAACGTGTCCGGTCCTCATAAAGTTAACATAAACTCCGCTTATCACTCGAATATGTTGATAACACGTAACACGCAACTGAATTTTCATTGGTATACGAGTCTAGACCTCGTTATGAGCTCGGTTATGAGCAGTAAAAAGTAAAAACGGAATTTATTCAACGTTGTATGTAGGCTACAATGTCGTATATTATGAATAAGGAACTCGATAAGATATCAGTTACATATCGATAAACATGGAGAAAAGATAGGTGTATTCGGGATTTTCGGGAATATTATTCTACTATAGGATATTATTCAACTACCACGTGACGAAGACTATTACGCACGAAGATGAGTGCTGTAATCGTAATAGCTATTATGCTTGAGTAGAATACTATACTTTATCTGCAACTATTCAGATATCGAAACATAGTTAAGTCTTTGAAAATCAAATAAATCTAATTGAAGATCTCCGTTTTGTCAGAAGACATATTTTGATAAGAATTGTTCCTAGAATTGAAATTATAAATGCAATGCCGGTATCGGGTCCTGGACGCAGGCGGAATTAGAGGGTACTTTTTCTGTTTATGCAATTTGAGGCTCTTTGACTAGAAAATATGGAAATATTTTTCTTTTTCGAGATAAAACGATTTTATAATTCTCCTAAATTATGAATGCATGTAAAGAATAAAACTAGATAGTGATTTTTCCTTATCAGGGTATACCCGAGTAGAGTATACCTAACATATACTTATTTTTCAATTCATGATTCTTATTGGACCTCCGATAAATCAAAACATCGATGTTGAAAGAATCATGATTTTTTGGAAAATCCTGTCTTTTTCGAAAACAAGTATAGGTATGAACCGGTATATGAACTAAATAGGTTATACTCGGTTCTATAATGTTCTATACTGTTTGTTAACAAATCCGATATAACGTTACAAAAATGAAATGAATTTCCATTAGCTATACAATGAATTTTCGAGTTCGAAGTTCGAATTTTACCCACAAATCATGATTTGTTGGAATGGATCTACCTCCGATGTTTTGAAATGAAATATCGGGGTACAATATAGATAATAAATTGAAAAATAATTATGGTATTGCACTCGGTATTGCATAAATAAAAAAGTTGGGGAAACATCAGTGCCCCTAGCCTAGCCCCTTCTATTTCTTTCGCTCCTGATGATCAATGTTTCGAAAAAACTTCAAAATTTTCAAATTGGACATAAAAAGATTGGTACGTGGTACAAAATTTGGCCATTTTATCACAAGGAGTTTCGAAAAGATTAAAAAATATACCTTCATCTCGGACTCGCCGTTAAATGAGTCTGACCCTCTTGATCTCGCCCTTGATTAAGCAACCATATCTGGACCCGAGTTAAATAATTTTTTTTACTATTTCTGTTCCTAAAATCTGCAGTTGAAATCTTTCCATGCTATTTCAGGACACCAATTCCGATCTGAATATCTCGAAAAGTGAAAAAGATCGTCCATCCGACGCATTAGAAATGTGTATCATTATAAGCGAGTATGAAGTTATAAAGTTTTCTTGCGAAACATTTCCTAATATGATTTCATTGAAGTCGACCTCTTTTTGTTTCAATAAAAAAGCACTGCACTGTCCAAAAGGGTGTTCGTCTCTGAAAAACTGATCATAAATATTGATGGTTTTCATACCAAATTTGTTACGAATCGCACGACTAGCTGAGATATAGAGGGGGGGCGTTTAAAGTGAGACACGCTGTATGATATCGTGTTTCTTTAGTTTTTCAAACTACTATTTATTCATGAAAAATCAATATTCTCAAATATATTATGAACATTCATAATTTATCTGAGAATATTCCTTTTCAACATGAAAAAAATGTATACAAATAAAGAAATACATTGAGAATTCACATTCTCTATCTAATAAAAAATCCTAATTCTTTATCTGTATATTCAACAGAAAACAACTATACTAATCATATACGGTGATCATTAATGGGTTAAGAAGTTTGTTGATTATGGAAGAGCAGCATCAGCTGAACCGCCCCAGGTTAAATAAGGACAATTTATTATTATTATTAAATTTCTTCAAGGCCCCTTTAGTTCTCACGATCCTCCTCTAATTATTTTAATTTGATACTGAAATTCCTGCAATTTCCAATAAATCGCCATCATTTGTA